ACCCACTATGTCACTGCTGACAGCCTGGGGCTTTCATAACTGTAACTTTATCATCAAAACTGGACTGATCAAAAGTCCACATTTCCTTACTTCCCATCTTCATCTGACATGCCTTCTGTGCTCCCTCTGCACTACCCAAAACAGAGCTGTAATGCAATGCAGCTTCCCCACCCCTGGGAGATGTAGAATTTCACTGCATAGCCATTAAGCAGCTGTTTGTTCTCTTCCGAGTAGGATTAAATAAGACATCTTTCACCATACTTGTATCACTGAGAAATTTCAATCCCACATGTAATAAGGAGAAAATCTAAAACATAACCATAGAATGCAGCTCAATGCTAGTGATATCAAACAAATCCATGTGAATGACCCTTGCAAATGTGTAATAAATATAGTTATGAAAAATTAATTTGAAGTTTTACCAGAGCTACTTAGCTTTTTCATTTTATACTTTATATTACTTGTCATAAGGTTTGAAAAAGCTAAATTACTTCACCCTTTGCTATTTAAAATAAGTATTGGTTTTTTTCTGTTCTGTGTTTTGAGAAGAGACAAAACCAATGCTAATGGTTTTATCCAGGAGGTTGTAATGGCACAGTTGAAAAGCGACCTCTTCTCAGACTGCATCACATAATGGTGTCATTCCTTTCTTGAAAACAAAGAAGAGAAGATATTGTTATAGTTTTACCTCCACTTGTTGCTGTATTACTCATGGACAAGTTAAAAGCTTCTACCAAGATCTCTTCTAGTCCTTCAAGTGGTTCTGTCTTGCACGTGTACTTTGAAGTTCCTATTGCTTGTGTGGAATGTCTATACTTGATGTTTTAGACATGTCTTAACATATAAATTACCTGATTATAAGTCAGTACTATTCCAGCTACCTTTCAAAGGATTGCTGTCAGCCACATTTAACCCCACTGGGCTGAGATTAACTAGCAAACCTAAGCTTCAAGCTGTATCTTTGCATCTATTTGCTTGACTACCCATTCCACTGGTGAAAACAGTAAATTGGTTTTTCTTTTCTCTAGAGGAACAAAATTTAGGCATTAGGTACAGCCTATGTGTCTTAGTTCTCCCAATAAATTTTGAAATGTTGGTCAATTTTAATAAAGTTTACTTAGTGGAATATGTCTCAACAAACTACATTTCTGTGCATCCTGTGAAGGAAAGACAGTTGAGCAGTAGTTACGAAAAGCCTCAAAAATGAATTCAACTCTCCTTAGGGATTGGCATATAGCAGCTTGATGTCAAGAAGCCTTCAAAAAATAGTTTTGCTTGTCATTTCTTACCACTGGTACTCCAACCTCCCCTGCTTTCCCAGTATCTCAGCCATTCACAGTTCAGCTCAAGATAAGAAAATGATACTGCTACTAAAAAAGCAGATGGGGAATTGAGGCACAATATTATTGAAACTCAGACTTTCACAGACATTTATGCATGTCTCAGTTGAAAGCGGATGGCTTGAATTTACAGTAATTTCCCAAGGTCATACAAGAAGCATGCAATAGGGCTGGGAAATTGCATCCAAGCTTGCACTTTGCTCTTTGGACCATACTTCCTAAATGGGATGTAGTAATTTCAGAATTGCACCTTCCTGGCCCTCTCTTTGGTGGATACCAGTCTGCTGTGAATAAACGCATCCTTTGGTCCTTGTGGCATGAGCATCAAAGCCAGCTACTCTTCTAGATCTGCCTCTCAGGCGCACTGGCACAGTGCAGATGCTGTACATGTCTCCCCTTCAAAGCTGTGGGGATCACAAAGAACAAAGGCCACCTGAGCACACAGCTCCTTCCAGTGTAGCAAAAATTTTACTGCTAAAGGGGGAATACTATCTAAAAGGAAGGCATGTCTAATTAGCAAAAGAATTTTTCAACACAACAGCAAGCTACTGATCATTAGAAAAATAAAAATGTCTTGAACTTTTTAAATTCCACCTGGTTTCATCCCATTCTGACTTGGATAATTACCTGTAGCTAATTTCTTGTGGATTTTCACATTTCATCTTTTTCAGATAGCATTGCTCAGCTCTGTAGCTTCGAGAATCTTTTATTTAGGATCATTGAATACAAATAAGAATTCTCCAATTGACAAAAACAAAGAAGACAATGAACATTAGAATGATCATTATGAAGTATGAATACCAGTTCCTGATGCCCCATGGAGTTCACAGTTTGATGACAGACCTATTTCCAGTCTATTACACTAAGAATTTTGCAGTTTTGAGAACTCTGGAGAAAGTTAGATGAACAACTCACCCACCCTACATCCAATGCTATTTCTACAAAAATCAGAATTTCTTATTTCAAGCACTTATTTTTCCAAATGACAGAGTCCACAACACAAGTAAGGCACATTCTGGAACAAGCTGATATGTCTGTTCTGGTATAAAGAAGCATACTTTCTCACCTTAGCTAACACCTACTAAGTAGAACATAAAATATCTGAAGATTTTTATTTCCTCACTGAAAGTTTTAGGCACAGAATGACAATTTCAGGAAGTAGATCACTGCCTCACAAAATATGGAGCTTGAGAATATACTTAGCATAGGAATAAAATAACAAACCGATCAAAGACTGAGTTACAAGTGTGTGATAGAAATTTTTACTAACGGAGGAACACAAAATAAATGTGTGTGTGACAGAAATTGTTATTAATGGAGGAACACAAAATAAAATGTTTGCAAATGGGAATGCTGTCTTGGATTCCCTGGCTCCAGCTGGCTGACAAGTTTAACCACTGAGTGCTGTCCTGTTACCAGTAACGGTGAACACTTGTTCCCATTATGCTGTCCTAAAGAAAAGTGCTGAGTAGAAGAGGTTAAGTAGTTTTTCTATCAACACAACATTGATAAATATCAGTACAAAAACCACAGGATAAACAATATTTTCATTTCAAATTTGAAAATTTGAAAAAATTTGAAAATTTGAAAAAAATGCAGTAGAAAAATTTGAGGGCTGTGTTTTCAAGAAGATTCAAAACTAGCAACTAGCAGCTCAAAAACAGGGCACTCCCTACTCTGTGCCCTGAAATCCTGCACACTGGTCAGCATTTGTCTTTCTAATCACTTGTGGAATTCTGAACTGACATGACAAAATCCACCCAAAGATCTTAAGAGTGCACAGATTAATAGTGTATTGTCACAGCATTGTACTTAGTGAACACAAGCTATAAAATAGATAAAGGGGAAAATGCATTCCCTGAGGTCCCAAACTTAGTGAATATTCTTGCATTACTTAACATCTTCTGGGCACCTAAAAAGAAGAAAATTACTAATTACTGCTCATAGTATCCATGAGGCAGCATTAAGCTGCATATAGCATTTGCAGTAAAAACCCATAGCCATGCAAAATTCTTCTTGCTTGATGTTTCACTTTAAACTCAAAACAATCCAAACACATGGACATTTGGAGTGAATCGAAATCTTTATGATATATCAAAGCACATGAAACTAATGTTGTTATGTGAAACCACGTGGAAATGAGTTTTGCTTTGTGTAAACCCCAGTACCAGAAGAGAGTTAGGAAATGCGTGTACTGTGCTTATCAGATATTAAGCAGAAGAGGATGCTAGTAGAAGCTACTGTGAAATGTTTCATACTAGTTTAGTTAAAATACTTAAGACCTTCAAATAATGAAGGTTATTAAGAATTGCACAAACCAAAAATATTCTTATTACCTCCACTGAGAGATTGCACACACACGTCTTGGTGGCAGATGTGTGGAATGTCTTTGGCTGCTCTTTGGCCCTTTTTGATTCTAATTAATGAAGGGACTATGAATTAATGGAGGGATTATGAAGTGTTTCATACAAATGCTTCACAAGAGAGGCTTATAAATCTCAGTGGAGAAGTCAGTCCAACTAATATCTTCACTCAGCTGCCTGTATTTCTTCAAAACAAAGCCTAAAAATGGAAGAAAAATGTTCTCTTTAAGCCCTGTATCACCAGGGGGAAAGGATCCTTTTTGGTTTCCAGTGAAATTTTACTTTATTCGGGGAAAGGGGAAAGTTATACACACCCACAGATCCCCTCACCCAAGGTTCTATTCCATGAAATGGTTGGTTGGACCTGGGTTCCATGAGCCATCCTCCTCTTTTTCAGGCTGCGCAAAATGTAGGAAGTCACTGGGGAGATAACCTGTTCTTCTCTCAGCTGGTAAATCTTGATGCAGGTGGAAGACAGATTAGAATAGATCTAAGGAATTCTCACAACAATTGTGCCTGCCTTGCTGACAACAGGCACCAGGCTGGTGAGGCAACAGGGGTGTGAGGCCAGGATCAAGGCCAGTGGGACACAGCTGGCCACTCTCCCCCAGCCCCCATCTCCCAGGACAGCAAGGATGACTGGGGGACTGGAGGATCTCTTTTATGAGGAAAGGCTGGAGGAGCTGGGCCTGTTCAGCCTCAAGAAGAGATGACTGAGAGGGGACCTCATCAATGTCCATCAGTATCTGGAAGGAGGGGGTCATAGGATGAAGCCAGGCATTTTTGATGGTAACAAGCAAGTAGAACAAGCGACAATGGGCAGAAACAGATGCACAGGAAGCTCCATCTGAACATAAGGAAGACATTCTTTACTGTGTGGCAACTACACACTGGAATAGGTAGCCCAGGGAGACTGCAGTCTCCCTTACTGCAGCTATTTCAGAACTGCCTGGATGCAATCCTGTGCTTGTGCTCCAGGATGACCCTGCTTGAGCAGGGAGGCTGGACCAGCTGTAGCACTGTGGTCCCTTCCAACCTGACCCATTTGTGATTCTGTGAACCGACGCCGCAGGACGAGCTGCCCCTGCTCAGAGGCGTCTCTATACAATCGCCAGGAGCAGGACCGAGCCCTGTGGCAGGGACAGCCCTCGGTGGCAGCCACGGCCGCCGCTGCGCCCTAGCCCCGCGCGGGGGGGGGCGGGATCAGCGCCCCCCGGGCCAGACGTTCCATAAAGGAGACGGGCAGGGTCGGCCCGGCGGGAGGGGGCGCGCTGAGGGAAGAGCCGACACGAGTGGCGGGGAGGCGGCGCGGAGGGAGGGCAGCCCGGCTGCGGGAAGCGAGGCTCCGCGCTGGGACTGGTTCCTTCGCAGCCATTTTCCGTCCAACCAAACAGCCGATTTGCGGAGGGAGCCAACCAGGGCCGCACTGGAGGTTTGTGCCTGGCTCCGGCCAATGATTGGTAACCGGTTGCACTGCAGGCTCGAATGAAATGTCCGTCTCCCTCCCCGGGCCCCGGCGCTGCCGCCACGCCGCCGCCGCGGGCACCAGGAAGTGCGGGGCTGCCGCCCCGGGCCCCGCACCGGCCGCGCGTCGCTTTATGCGGCCGGGGAGCCGAGCGGGGTGGGCGCGCGGGGAGGGGAGCGGAACGGGCGGGCAAGCAGGGAGGGGGGTGTCGGCAGGGGCGGCGGGGCGGCTGCCCCCGCCGCTGTCCCGCTCTTTCCGCGGGGCCCTTCCCGCTACGGCTCCATTTTGCGGCCTAGGGCAGGGGTGGAGGCAGCAGGCGGAGCTGCCCCGCGGCCGGCCGACACCCCTCACCGCTGGCTGAGAAGCGGCGGGTACTCGCGGGCGTGCGGCCTCCCGCCACCTCTCCGTCTCCGCGCCAGCCGCGCTCGCTGCGCCCCGGGGCCGCGGCTTTGTGGCGACCGCGCCGGGCGGAGCGGGCTCGGCGCTCTTTTGTGTCTCCCACCGAACTCCCTCCCCTCGCCACGGGAGCGAAGGGCCGTGGCCCCCACCACGCCCACGGTCCCCAGCCGGGCCGTGAGCCGGGTAGCGGTGCCACAGCGGCCCGAGCTCTCCTCCCGGCACCCCCCGTGCCGTTGTCGGGACCGAAATTTCCTGAAGGGTTTGGCGGTATTTGCAGGGATGAGGAGTGTAGGGTGAGGCTTCAGGATGTGGTGCCGGTGACCGGCTGGCAATGCGGGCGGGAATGCGAGGCCTTGGTGGGCTGCACGGGGACCCAGCAGAGGCGCCCGACCGCCCCCGGGCAGGTGCGGGCAGCGCGGAAATCACAGCCAGCGTGATCAACAATAAAGTTGGTGATTAACTGAGGACTCGTCGTCTTGTGCCATTTGTAAACAAGGGGTCACGATAGACGAGTTACCTTTCGAACAGATGTGAGCTGGGTGCCAGGAAGGCTCAGAGGCTGTTGGTATAAGTAGGAAGGTGTCGTCGTCGTCCCCGTCCCTCCTCCCCCTCCCTCCTTGTGGCCCAGCACTGCGTTTGCATCATTGAAGGGCATGAAATCAGGAAATGGGATCGAGCAGCTTGCAGTGGCGGAGAGGCAGCTGGGTGGCTGCCTGGGTGGCTGTCCTGTGACACACATGACAGATGGGAGAGAGACGGGACCCTGCCATTATCAATGTCTACATAACTTTTCGGTTTGTGGGAGGTGTTCTTGGGCAGACCTATGTGTGTTAGCCACCGTGCTACCTCCGGAAATTATGTAGTTGGTGATCCTGAAGAGTACTGTCGACATATTAACCACAATCCTATAGACAATCATACTGGAAAACCACAAAAATTCATGTGTTCTAGTAATGTTTCTGCAGCTATGATATATATTCTGCAGTACAACTGCAGTAGAAAATCAGGTTTAGCTTTACCAATTTCTTTGAGGCTTAACAAAAAAGATTTGTTCTGAAAAGAGCTGTGAGGTAAAAGCTGTCTAGTGTGATTAAGTTGCTTGTGGGATGGCAAAATTAATGATAACAATGATCTGGACATTTTTAGGCAATGAGGAGCACAGAAATCTGTATTTTAGCCCATTCATCGACTCTATTACATGTAATAACTTTTCATTGGCATCTCGGTGGATGGCAGTTACTGTCAATGAAAGAAAAAAAATCAACTTTCTCAAAAACAGCTCTGGCAAAATGGTTGGAAAAAGGAAAATGGCAGGTGCCAGTTTGGGCAGTATTCAGTGTCTGGCTTTAATTGGCTTGCAGGAATGGAGAAATTGTATCTATATATAATCATTAACATATTGTTCCTAAACAATAAGCTAGTGGTTGCTTTCTTTTTTTCTTTGATGATGTGGCCTGTGGCATGACAGTTGCAATGTAAAGGCAAGATCCATCTTCAGTTCTCTAGGACACCCAAGATGGCTCAATCTGAACCTTTCTGAGGCCTGTGTGAGTTGCTTTTGCACTATGCATTGAGCAGGTGGTTATACATGGTCTTGGCTGCTGGGATTTACAGCTATGGCATTATATTGGGAGAAGTTAGAAGCACTTCTGGATTTGACCGCCACAGAGTTCAAAGCTTAACTCTTATTTGTGGTAATAATTAGGTGAAGGGAGGCAATGTTCAGAAATTGAATGAAATATAATGTTTAAGATAATGTCAAGATATGAAACATTAAAAACTGAAACTTTGAAAGTCTGATACCTTGTTTTGCCAACATTTAAAAAAGGTTTGCAAGGTTCTTCCTTTAGTGCTTTCAAATATAACTCTAATGGTGCTCCACCTTTAAAATTCTGCTTAGAAAGAAACTTGACTTAGTACAGAGTTTTGCAGTAGTGTTTTGAAGAAACTTAGTATTTGAAAATTGATGTTTTAGTGGCAGGATGCTTGTAAAAAGAGCAAAACATTACTATATATATGCATACTAAACAATATGGGTAAATAACATTGGTAGAATAAAAGCAAGTGTCAGCAAATTCAGCAGTTTTGGCTGAAAATAGTCTGGTCTGAAGCTAGTTCGGTCTGGTCTGAACTAGTTTTGTAAAACTCTTACTTGCCCTGTTGCTTTAGAGGAAAAAAGCTGCTTGGCATACTTGAGTTACTACCTCAACAAAGGAAAAATTACCTACTTAAAAACGTTATCAAACTTCTAAAAGGAAAAAGACAGGATTTATGGATTGCTGCTTTAATAAACAGATAATCTTAGTTTTTTACAAAAATTACTAGAAAAGTATCAAAAGTACTATTGAAAGGTAATACGGGGATTTCAGTGAGGTTGCTGAAGGAAGGAGGTGCTGGTGCAGTGTGTTCAGCACTGCTTTCCTTTTCCAGCTTCTGCAAATGTAATTAAACTGCCTCCATTCCTCTGCTCATCTTATTTTCTCCCCCAGCTTCTCTCTTCTACTGCCAAAAAAGAGAAAGTGTGGAAACTGGATTTCTCCTGCTTGCTCTGTATCACTGACCCTCTCGATGTGAAAATGCATGAGGTTTTAGTCCAGCCATATATATTGCAGCTAACAGTGCTTGTGGATATTAGCCAGTCTTGGAAGGAGTCATCAGCTGCTCTAGGAGAGCTGGATCCACGTGAAGGGGGCCTGTAGTCAGTGGCACTGGGGCTTTTAAGATAAGATATAAAGTTGATAGACTGTTACATGGACTGGGAAGGTGTAAAGGTGGCAATGCTCTCTTTGGATTTCATAAGAGAAAGTTTCCTCCCCACGGGCCAGGGGAAGGATTCTGATATAGCCCAGATGCTAATGAGCCTTGGTGACGCTGTAGTCCTCTCAGCATCAATCTGCTTTTCTCAGTGTTACTCTGCTGTGGGGGGAAACACTGAATGTAAGGGATTAGAGAAGTCTGAGATGGAGAGAGAGTGCAGCATCTGGTTTTGTTGTATGTGTGAAGCCATTTGGCATTATATTTTTATGTGTCTGCTGAAACAATGTCCAGTGAATGCATTCACCAGTTGGTATTTCTTAAATACCTGAAGGTGGGAATTCAGTGGGAAATTAGGATCCCCAGAAGTCACTGAAAAATAAAAGGAAATTAAAGGTGCGTTTTTAATGGAAAAGTCTTTCTGCTTAACAGGCAAGGGTGCAGAAAGCTCGAATAAAACTTGGTGTCTCTGCTGTTATGTACTGATTCACAGCTTTACATCTCTTGTGACAAAGTGTGGCAAAATGAATGATGTGGTTACTACCTACAGCTTTAGTTATTGTTCCTGTCCTGCTTCTTTGGCTGACATGACTGCATGGAATGTGTACCAAGTGCTTCAGTTCATTGCATATAATTTTTCCCTCCCCTCTCATGGGGTAGCAATTTTGGGAGACAGGGTGGATAAATACCACATGAAATACTTAAATCACAAGAGGCCTTTGGTTTCCCTTCAGGAGGGCAGTTTGTAAGTCATTGCCATATAATTTCCTTGTTATGAAAACAAAAATCATGTTTCTTCAAATTTCTTTTTTCTTCTTTGTTTTTCCTTTTATACTGATCTAGGTTTTAGTCCCTTCTTCTCAGTGCTAGCAGGCTTGGGCTTGTATTCTTTAGTTATAATTTAGCTGAGCCACTGGTATTGACTGCAGTCTTAAGGGAGCTTATAAGATTAAACAGGATGCAAGATTTACTTTGAGATACTGATGTTTTATTAGTTTAGTACAGACATATTATAGGAACAGTCTGAGTTGTGAGCAGCTGACAGGAGCAAATTTTTTTTAAGCATCCTCAAGAATATGTATACCAAATATCAGTGTAAACCTGTGTGTTCATTCATGTGCATCTTATCACTGAACCTTCTTTGATGCTCTTGAAATGTGTCTCTTATAACATATTTCTTTGGTTAATTTCCATGCATCTAGGGATATACAAACTATGTATATCCCTAGTAATATTCTTTTATTATTAGAGAGCGAAAAAACAAACAGAAAACCACTAACAGAAAGCATTGTGCTGCTGCTCTATATTCAGATTTTAATTGTGCTGTGTAGTGCTGAATTTTTATGTCCTGTACTTGTTTACTCTCCCTGGTTGTTGATAAAATCAGATAGTGGCATGGTCATTTTAGAGACTGACATGTCACTTCTGATGTGCTTAGCTCTCATTCTTTATTCAGTCCATGTGTATCCATGGAGGAGCTTCATTGTCTTCCTAGCACAGGAAGCTGAGGATAATGTACAACCTGTAGTAATTGCTTCCTGCAGTTATGCACTACACTTGCTGCTGGAGGACTGAGGTGTTGGAAGCCCTCCCTCGTGCAATTTGGCAGCCACACAGAGTTAGGAGATGCTCTTGTATTAAAAAGCACTGCAATGTTTGCAGGCTGAAACTGCCATGCAAATGTGATGTATAATCTGCAAATGGCTACTTCTCCTTAAAGCAAGTTGTAACAATTTGGCAATCTAAAGCAAAATCTGAGAGGAAAGTTCTTTACCACCTGAACCTTTTAGGATTAAATCTTCCTGGATTTTGCCTGTTCTAGCATCTACTTCCATCTGAAGTAGCAGATCTTCCTACTAAATGGGCCAATATAAGAACTGTTGGCCTTTTTAGTCTCCTAGTGACTGCAGTTAGTGTAGGCAAGGTGTTGTTTCTATGCTATATTGCACTGCTGCCTTTTCCAGAGCAACTTCACGGACACAGAATTTAGTTTGTGTCATAGTTTTGGAAGTGTTTTATTGGTTGTTTGGGGTTTTTGTTTGTTTAAAGGAGGGGGATTAATTAGCAACAGTGTAGTGGAAGAATGAAGAAAATGTTTTCTCATTTTCTGAACATTGTTGTATGTGTTACAGAACTTGTGCTGAGCTTGACAGTCAGATAATGTGGGGATTAACTAGAGTTTTGAACACCTGAAATTAAAACTGTAATGTGTGAGCATATAACTGTTTGTTATGTGGTGGCTGGGATAGCCGTGGCCATGTTTTCCTGCCAGGTCGTGTTTGTCATCCATCAGGCTCAAAGAAATACTAGTAGGGTGACTTGGATGGCACATTAATTACAGCTGCTATATTCAGATGCCTGGATCTAGATTTGAATTGAATGACAACTCTGGCTGAAATTCTTCCATCAACTTACTTGGATTGAAGTAGTGTGCTGAGATCCCCTCCTTCCCTCACGGTGTGGTCAGCTGGAGAAGGCATGTGGGGCAGCTGGGCCAGCTCTGTCTGTGGTGGCCTTCAAGATGTGGCTGGAGAAAACCTTGAGTGCTCTGCTCTGAGCTCGGAGCTGACCCTGCTTTTAGCAGGGGCTGGAGTAGAGACCTCCCACAGCCACTTCCAACATGAATTATCCTGTGGGCCTGGATCATGACCTGGTTATGCTGAGCATTATGCAGAAGGGTGTTAGTGCTGTCCCTAATCTCCTGTCCCAAAGTTATCCTGGCAACTAAAAATCTTTCTTCAAGTAATACCAACAGAAGTAATTTCAGTGGATGTTAAGCTGTCAATACCTGTTTTCTTTATCTGAGTCAGATCTGACTTTTTCTGTTGCAAGCCTTTTCCTGTCAATTTTGCTAATCACTATTTTAGATTCATAGTGCTGATAAATGTCCACGCAAATGCCCAATAATGGTGAAATAATACATCCTGTAAGTAGATCTGGAAATATGTGCACAGAAAAAAATAGAAGCAAAGGTATTACCTTGAGGATGCATTAGTTTAATATGACCAAAATGTCTGTAGATGCAGCACAGGTTTGAAAGAGATTCAAGCAGGAATTGTCTTTTGAAAGCAAGCTGGGCTAATGAAAGTAAGATGATTTCTTAGTGTTGCTGGGTCTTGGCAATAAAGATTCAGATGGAGTAGCCTGCAGGAGAGGTGAGCAGAAATCAGTTAGTTATCACATCATGGCAGAAATTTGAAGAATATTGCAACCCTGAAGGAAGGAAATAATTTAGAAGAAATGTTTCACAGAAGATTGAAAAAAGAGAGGGAAAGAAAGATCAAGGTATTAAAAATACCTTGTATTGGGGCTGGTAAAGATTGAGATCCTAAATTAAATTCCATCAGGGATCAGAGAGCCAAAACTGAGAAGACTACCAGAAAAGTCTAACATAATTTTGGAGGTAGCTTTTGGGATTTGCCAGACTGCAATTTTAATTCTTTCAGAGTGCAGAAGGGAGAGGGAGGCACAATTCTCTTAATGATGTGTGATGTCAGTTTTAGTGATCATGACATGGCAGGATTGTGATAAAAAAAGCAAACTGCAGACCCCTTGGGAGATTGAAAAGCAAAGTTAAATCTCCCAACAAAGAATCTGCAAAATGTGGATAAAGTGAATTTATGTTAAGGATGGCACATGGAAGGTTGATGCCTAAAATACTGCCCTTCCTTTGGGTAGAGCTACTGTGTAAGAAGTGAAGCTGGTTTGCAAAAGCCCAGCAAAAGGGACCTGAAATTCTTTATAGAAGTGTGTGTAATATTCTGTTCAATGAAGAAGAGCTGGAATAGTCTTTTTCTCTTGAACAGCTCCTAAGGCTCTGTCCAGCTATTGTTGGAATGTGAGCAGCGCTCGTGTTATTTGTGCATCTCTGGCCAAATGTAACACTGGACATTGCTGGAAGGTTTCAAAGTGAAACTCAACCCTGTGGCCACAAGCAAAGTGCAGATTAGCGAGAGGTTAAATGCTCATATTTCTGGGTAGATGTAAAAAAAATCACAACATTGCTTCTCCCTCTCTCCCTCCCTTCTCTCCCTCTCTCCCTCCCTTCTCTCCTTCTTCGTGGATATGCAAAAAAGTAAGCTCTGTGGTCTCACTGACAGCAACCACAAGATCCTTCAAAGACACCAAGGTACCTACACAGTGGATGTGGGGTCAATGAGTGAAGTCAGCTGGGCTCTGCCTCTCCAGGGCCCATGTGTGTAGCTTGTCAGTAAGAAGGAGGGAAGCACAGGCTCTTTTGGCTTCCCTTTTTCTCCTGGCTTTTAAGTTACCTATTAAACTGTGACCGCCCCCATCTCCAAACCCTCGTGAAGAAGTCTTCTTTTTGGCCACCATATCAGAACCTTGAGAGAAGAGCACCAAAGGATGCCCAGAGACTGAGGCAGGGCAGGACCAGGGAATGCTAAAATGTGACTCAGAAGGCACATAGGAGTAGCTGGTGTCTCAGGGAGGATGAGAATGCAGAGCTGGTCCCACGGTCTGGCTAGAAGTTTATCAGTGGGCTTGACAAACCAACACGAAGAGTAAAGGTGAGTGAGTGAGTGAGTGAGTGAGTGAGTGAGTGAGTGAGTGAGTGAGTGAGTGAGTGAGTGAAGGATGCATTCTGTGTAGGAACTAATAGGTAAAGCATTCAGTGAACAGGGGGCTGGTGTAGGTTTTGAGGGTTGTTCAAGACACCTTGCACATTCTGGTCAGAGGCAGGGCAGGCCAGGGGCACGGGCACTGGCTCTGTGCCAGGCTCAAACCATGACATTTTCACAGGAGCTATGTGTTACATAAACCAAATGATTCTGTCATGGCCTGTGCCTCTGGCCGAGTTTGTTGAAAAGCCTCACAAAACAGTTGAACTATTTCCATTGTCAGTACAACTCATTAATGACAGTGGGGGTGCTGTTCTCCAATAGCAAAATATTTATGCTTTGTATAAAGTGATCTCCTGGTTTGTGCTGGGTTTGAGTAATAGCTGTACTTAATGATGTAACAATCGCACCTGAAAGGTTTCCTCCTTCTGATTGTAGATGGATGGTGACAGCTCCACAACAGATGCTTCTCAGTTAGGAATTGCTGGAGATTACATTGGTGGCAGTCACTATGTCATACAGCCTCAGGATGGTAAGAAGTGAGAGAGCAAATGCTACTATTTCTCTGCATATATGTGTATACATAATTTTTCTTCCAGTTCTTATATCATTCTCTGCTATCTTCTCTCAGGCTAAGAATTTGCCATTGTTTTTGTAATGCCTCACTGTATAAAGCATTTTCTACAGTTTGAAGGGGGGAGTTGGATTTTTTGATGTTGGTACAGAGACCTTAGGGGGATGACAAAAAAATTTATGTTATAGGAAGCAGTTTGTATTTTGGCATGGCATTAATAATGGTTGTTGATCAGAGCCATGTACACTTCAGTGCATAATGTGATTAAATGCTATCTTTATAAAGGTACCCTGATGTTGCATCTATTTTTAAAATTATTTCTATGATGGTAACACATTGTGTTTTCAAAGGTCTTCATCCTTCAGTGTAAGATTTTAAACTGAATTATTGCCTGTTGTCTATCAAATATAATTTCTGTTAACTTTTCTTCATTTCATTAGACACAGAAGACAGCATGAATGATCATGAAGATACAAATGGTTCAAAAGAGAGTTTCAGAGAACAAGATATATATCTTCCAATTGCAAATGTGGCAAGGATAATGAAAAATGCCATACCCCAAACAGGAAAGGTAATACTGTTGTCTGGTAAAGAAAGTGTGTTAATGAGTTTTATTCCTTCCTCTCCATGAACTTGAGCTGATTAGAACAACATATTTTTCCAAATGATGCTGGTTTATTGAAGAAAAGCATTATAAAAGGAAAGGGGAAAAAGCCCCAGGAGCAGGAGGTGATTGAGACTAAGCCAATCACTAAGAATATTTTCTATGCAATTCTCTAGAGAGATTTAGTCTGCTTTCATTGATGTGCACAAAATTTGGAATAAGTGAAAATTTTTGTCTGAAATAGAAATTCAGTGCTCATCCTGAAGGGAAGAGGATGGTTAGCCTTCCATCGCCCAAATATTTGCATACCCAAATGCCAAAGTGACATAAGAAGTCTGCTTTATATCATGGAACAGATAAGGCTAGATATTGAGAGCCTTGTTTATTTCTTACTTCTAAGAATAGACTTTTTAATCCATTCTGCTGAGCTGGTGATTGTATAAGTACTTCATCATTCTACTGGTTTATCTTAAATCTTTGCAGGGCTCCTATGATTTGCTCTTTCTCTGTTGTATTCCAATACAATTCCAGCCACAGTAACATTTCCTCCAGCTAAAACTGATCTCTTTGGAGATCACTCTAAATAGAAGCAAGACATCATTTACTCGCCTCTGCTTGTATTTTCATAGTGTTCAGGGCTTTCTGGAGATCTGAATGTTACGTTTATAACTTTGCTGTGAAAAACTGTACCCTAGTTCATATTGTCATAAATTTTTAGTGATCAAAATTAGATTTTTCTTTAGAATTTAGCATAGGGGATGTGGAGCTATCGTGAAAAATAAGGATGGTTTTTTGTAAAAAACTGCAAGAGAAGCTGCTGACTGATGACTTCTTCTGAAAATCTCACCCTACATGTCTGAAAATATCAGAGGAGCTAGTGAAGACTCTGCACACAGTTACTGCTTCAATTTTTTAGGTTCTTTTCATATGAAGAATAAGCATCTTAATTATTATAATCTTCTTACTGATTCTTGTCAGCTTCCCAAGTAATCATGAGTAATACTTTCTGTAATTTTAAGTCAGGTAAATTACTTTTGTCCAGCTGAAAACTGTAATCAAATTTACTTACTTCATTCTTGCCAGGGGCATATGTTGCTTCATTTGAGTTCTCATTTGGTAAATTTATACCAGAGCATATATATATATATATATATATATAATATATATATATAATATATATATGTATATTTATTTGGTAATTTTATAATAAAGCATTAGAAAGGCTTTCTGCTAGATGTATATTCTAGTGCTTGAATCTAGGCAGGATAAAAATATTTGTCAGTGCTGAATTGGTGGGAATGTGATGAACTGAGGTTGGAGCTACCAGGTCTCTTAAAAAGAAGAGGAAGTGGGCTGTGACATTGTGATGAACAGGTTTGAGGAGACATAGGTAAGCAAAGCAAGAAGCATCTGGGTGTAAGAGCTTGTATAGAACTTAGGACTTCAGGAGATCCTGGCAGTTGGCTGTGCTGCTTAAAATAGGAAAACATGAGTAATATCACATCACAGCTGGTCTTATGTAGAGGAGTGAGGACATCCAGTGGTTTGCTGTGCAGGTGTTGCCTAAATGGGTATTATCATTGGGTTTTGGAATGTTTCCTCTATTATGTACTCCTTGGGGGGGTTAGTGGTGAGTTTTTTAAAGTCTTATGTATTTATTAATGATTTTATGATACTTTTTTCCTTACTAGATTGCTAAGGATGCAAAGGAATGTGTACAAGAGTGTGTAAGTGAATTCATCAGCTTTATAACATCAGAAGCAAGTGAGAGGTGTCACCAAGAGAAAAGAAAGACCATCAATGGAGAGGATATTCTCTTTGCCATGTCTACCTTGGGGTTTGATAGCTATGTTGAACCTTTGAAGTTATACCTCCAAAAATTTAGAGAGGTTGGTATATATGGGTATTTGCTCATTTATTTAACCTGGTTGCATTTATCCTTAGCTCTCTGTTGTTGTAACTATATAATGGCTAACTTGCACAGTATCTCACAGCTCTTGATTAGGGAGTAATGTTATGTTTGAAAGCATTCCAGAGGATTCTTGACTCCCAGAGGATGTCAAGAGAAAAAGGAGGAAGTAAACATTTTGATTAGACTTGCTGATTCAGAGTAATTAAAGCTTTCAACTGAATAAATTCTCTAATATATTGGTGGTCATAAATTGCTCTGCTCTTTGAAGTGCCTATTAAGAATGTTTAATTTGATCTTTGGGTTCAGTCAGTATGTACTGACTGCATCCTCTGAGGAACTGGCCTAATGCCTATTGTTTGTCTGGACTTCAGGTCTGCAAAAGAAAAAAGCTGTTTTTCTCATGTTGGAATAATGATTCACATGGAAAACTATCTGTTTCAATGGGTTTTTTTAAATTACTATTTTAGCCTGTCTCTCAGTTTGCTTTTGATACATAGTACATGCTAGATATGTGATCCAAACAGTTAATTTAATTTATCCCTTCTGTAGCAGAAAGTGACGTTATTCCTTTCAGCAGTTTAGACCTTTTCAAAAAAGGAAGTTGCTTCTGCTTGAGATTTTTTTTTCTGGTCTGCCTCCTCCTGTCTAAATTGCCAGAATAGTAGATAAGGATGCTCTTCTGAGTTTCTTTGTTTTGTAAACCTTTTTTAGTTCAGACTTGCTAACCGTATTTGTTTTGCTGACAACACTTGAAGCTTCCCCTTCCCAGAAGGTCATTTGCTGAATAACTGAGTAACAGGAGGTGTAAAGTTGGAGTAGTGCTGTGTGCCTTTTCCAGTTCTGTGTGGCAGTTGCACATCCTGTGATAGGGCTGTATGTGCTTTTAAAAAGGCAAGTATTCCCTAACTAGTTCCAGTTCTTACCGAATAAGTCTGAAGTGGGTCTGTGATACTTTCATTCTTAATTGATCAGTTTTGCAGATTATAGATACTGTGGTAGCACAGTAATTGGATTGGATTTTAATTGCATGGATAGGTTAAACAGCTTTGCTCATCAGTTTTAAATCTCCTTTCCAGCAAGGGTGTCTTCAGGGTGAAATACTTCAGTTTTGTAATTGAGTATTTTGTCTGAAGCAAGCAGTTGCAGAGAATCATTTTTTATGCCCACATTATTTTTCTAGACATTCTTATGTAATAGCATAGAGCATCAAAAACTGCATGCAGATGACTTGGGGCCTTGGCTTTCTATGCAAATGTTGCACATTCTTGATAGGTGAGACTCTGTGATTTCTTGTAAATTCTCCTTCTGGATTACCACAGATTTTGAACTTTCTGCAGAAGGTGAAAAGCCTTTCTTAGAACCACACAGTCCTAGTTTGACAAGTTTTTCTTTCAGGAGTATGGTTAAGATGAAAAACACTTATGTAATATGCACATTCTCAAATCCCACAGAGTTTTACAGTTCTTGGGATTTCAAGCTCCAGCTGTTGCACTGTAACTCTTCTGCAAGTTTCAAACCTTGGCTAGAGTTCCTGGGGCTTTGAAAAAAATCTCAAGCTTTTTTTCTGCTTTTTTTGTGCTCTCTCTTCTTAGGCAATGAAAGGAGAAAAGGGAATTGGGGGAACAGTTACAACTGCAGATGGTCTAAGTGAGGAGCTCACAGAAGAAGCATTTAGTGAGTAGTACTTTTTAATTTATTATGTTCTTACTACAGCTGTTGTAAATACAGCACTTCTGGCAGCATTCTTACTTGAGGAATATATCCTGCGCTAGTAATAGCTCATGTCAATTGTGAAAAATTTATAAATGCATATATTAGTCCTTGTATACACTTAAACACAGGTTGTAATGAAAGGTGCAAACCTTTTTTTTCCTTTTCCCCCAGTAGCTACATATTTAGGCCCCATCCATTCTACTTGCAAGACTCTTGGGGGAAAAAAGTTAAACTGACTTGAGGAGCTCATCTTTGAGAAGTGAGGCAGAGAAGAAAATCATCTTTGTCTAATTCTAAAGACCTTAATATTTCTTACATTCAAAAGAATGCACAGATTGGCAGCTAGAAGGTGTAGGGTGTAGCATTCAGTGTAGTTTTCTTCCTTTTACTGTGGATTAAAACCTGACAGTTTTTTGGGATTTACACTGATTTTGTTGGTGCTGATTCTTGCATGTAGTCTCCACCTTGGCTTTTAAATGTTATGGGCTGGTAGTGTTGAACCTGATAGAAGACAAATTAGAAAGCACAGCTCTAGTCCTATCTATTGACAAGCTTTAAGTTTTTAAGTATGTGATAAAATCACTGGTAAACCACCAAACAAGCAAAAATTCAAAGCCTGAGGGCTAAAATGACCTATTCAGGATTGGAAGTACACTTTGCTCTCAGTTTGACTTTGGCTGCATAAAACAGTGCAGTCTTGTTGGGTCTCTTCTAGCCTGGAAGAGGAGCTTACAAAACTGGCTGGAAATTAGGAATCTGAATCTAAATTGCAAGCGTCCCTTCTAATATTTAGATTCAGATTCTTAAAAACTTTAGGTTGCTGTGACTTGAAAAGAGCAACTTTAGAAATGTCCTGGCAGGATTAAGGATGCAAAGGAGCTGTTGCAGTATTAAAAGAAAGTTTAAAAAAAATTATGTTAAATAACTGATCATGTCAAGTGCTGCAGGTTTTTCCCTTCACAGGGGCAGCTCTGTCTGGAATGAATGATGGTGTCACTGCAGCAGTAGTAGTAATAGCTGTGCTTCTGTGGCATAACCCTCAGCTCTTTGTGGTGGCCTCATGCCGGGGCTGGGTCAGGGTCTCTCCATTAAGCTGTGTTGGATGTGGAATGTGCACATTGAAGGGCAGTAAATTTTGGACCTGCCAGAGCCACTCTCACTAATCTTCATGCATCTCTCAGCCTGCAACTGAAGCAATTGAAATTTTGTTCAATGAAGGAGGAAGGAAAAAAAATAAAAACAACCAACCAACGAACGAACCAAAAATCTAATTACAAAACCCTCAAACATCATCTTTCAAATGAAAAGTGTTAGGATTATGCTGTGCTTTCAGAATTTTTTATTGGTTATACATCTTGTTTATATTTAATAACTACATGAACAAAACCTTATTATTATTATTAACCTACAGTATAAATCATTGTGCTGCTTTGCTTTCAAATAGCAGTTGTAAGGCACCTACTCTGAGTGTGAGAGCTTAATATGCATGTTTGTGAAGGTCTGCCTTGGGGCATCACTCCCTGTGTTTTCTCTTGGTATCTCAGAAGTATTTTACTCCTTTTGTTGGCCTCCTCTTTCCTCTGTGAAATCAGAGCTCTTCTGTGTGCCCTAAAGGACATGCTGAAGTTGACCACTACAATGTCAGGCTCTGGCAGTGCCTTTTATTTTTTGTCATTGCCTGTTCCTGTTCCTCTCTTCTGCCTTCCATGGAGCTCCTGTATTATGGAGTCCCTGATGGATCCCAATTTATAAAGCAGCACAATGATTTAATTGAGTTCCTCCCACATGGCTATGCTCAAGTGCTAAACAAAGCCAACTGAATTCTTCAGGCTTGTTGGGATACTGAGCACTGGAGATGGCCTTTTCAGTGGTCAGGGTGGTGAGCTCTGCTCCATTTGCCTGTGTGCAGGTTTGGACATTCTGCTTACTCTCAGAACAAAATCAAGTTGGATTTTATGTATTTCTTCTGAATGGGAATAAACTTGTTCACCTGTAGCACTTGGTAACAAGTGTGAATTTACCAGTGTAGGATGGTAACTCGGGAGATTAATGGCTCTGTCCTGGAGTGGACCACAATTATTTAATGGTGACAGACACATCAAACAAGGCTCGGTATATCAAGCATTCCTGCCTAATGTTTTTAAAATGCTCTTTCTTTCAGCTAACCAGTTGCCAGCAGGCTTAATAACCACAGATGGCCAACAGCAGAATGTTATGGTCTACACAACATCATATCAACAGGTATGATCCTGTATCTTGTCCCCTACTCTCCCTTCTGCTGCTAAAATCCAAACACTCGTTCAGCTGCTCTGTTCTGAAAGATGAGAATTAATTTTATATAGTCCTTTGGTGGTGGCTGTCATGCCATTCTGACACTGAGAATTCATGGCTGCTTGCTGTGAACTGCTCTGCAGCTTCAGAAAATGTGCAGTGGAATGTAAGCTTGAATTTTCTTTCTCTAGATCTCTGGTGTTCAACAAATTCAGTTCTCATGATTTTGAAGAAAATTTTCCATCTGGGAACATGAGACGGAAAACCTGTGCAACTCTAACGAAGAGGCAGTTTTAATGACTGGTGAAGAGATTTATCTCTTTGTATATTAAATAGCTGTAATGTAGCTACCAGAAGCTTGACTAATTGAGGTGAGAGTTCTGACTCAAATCTTTTTCATGATGATTTTAAAGAAATAATTGGATTTTAAAGGTATTAAAGTATTTTTGTTTTGTACAAGAGTTTGTTGCTCTGTATAACTCCTGTATGCATTGTATATTGCAATTTATTACTGTCAGAGATTTGTAGACAGTTTCTTATTTTCATATTGAATCATGTTACTTTTGTAATTCAGGTGAACAGCTGGGTTAATTCATGCTTACCCTTTGAATAAAATTGTAAGGGTAAAGTTCATTTTTGAATGCAAGTTGCCTTTATTATGAAGATTGAGTTAGTCTTGGTTATGTAACTTGTCTTGCATGACAACCTCAACTAACCAGACACGTCAGCTTATTTATTGAGATTTTGAAAGGGACTTTTTCCTCATGAAACTAGCAGCTCAAAAGCATTGCTACAATTGTTTTTTCTAATGTAATTTCTGAATTAAAGGTTAATCAAAACCAATGAATGCTCTACTACATTTAGAGGTTTAGAGCTTATCAACAGTGTTAATGAAAGCAATGCAGGTTTTCTTTTTTTAAATTTTTTTCAGTTGCATTAATTCTCGTTCGACTTACTTTGATACTTTTAAGGTAGTCTTTCTGCTATTGAAATAACTCCTCCTTTTTATGTATGGCTTGTAGAATCCCAGACTTTGAAATCCAAGGGTAGGGGGGATTTTATAGTCCTTGTGGTAAAAGATCTCATTTTAATTTTTTACTGAAATGTTTTAACATTTCTTGTGAGCCTGTGGAAACTCAAAAGTGGTAGTGACTTTCTATGTCTGGGCTGCATGTTGTGTGGATGTGTATGGGCATGAGTGGCTGACACCTGATTAAGTGATACAAATCTGAAATGGAAGACAGACTTCAGGTTTGCTGTCTCTTTCTTGGTTTTGCAATAAACTCTATCTAGGTAATGTAGTTCTGTATATTAAGTGAGCTGTTCTTGGTAACATTGCTGTTTCTTTAATAATTGGATGGGTAATTTTGTTGCCATGTCTTAGCCTATTAGGGTAGGGATGAGGGTTTTAGTAATAGCTTACTCAGACTGGATTTTGGGACCTTCCATATTTTTACTGTTTCCAGTGGACTGAAATGTAATATATTTATTATCCTTCTAATAAGGATAATAAATATATTATCCTTATTAGAAGGATAATAAATATATCCTTAAATTAATAACAGGTACGTTATTAATTTAAGCAAACCACACCTTGAAACTCTTGCCATATGATTTCTTGCTGGTTTTGTCTTTTCTTTAAAAAAAAAAAAAGAAATGTAATAGTTCAATATTGGGAAATTAGCATAACCTAAGATATCCCAGCTCTTTAGCTAAACAAAAACTTCATGTGCAGATTTGAGCAGTGTTTCCTACCAGTCAGCATCCTCCTGGCAGAGCCTCTGGAGACGATCCAGTGTATTCAGGGCAGTCTGCAGGATGTTCTGGGCTTTGTGGCTGCCTGTTGTTGTTCAGCAGCTATGAGCAAATGGAGTTTCTCATTAAATGTAAAACTGAATAACATGATCCCTGCAAGAGCCCCTTCTGTTTCTATTCCATTTATTTCAGGCCAGCATAGCCTGTTCTTGCCGTTTCCAGATTTGCAATGGAAAAAAGCTGTGATACCAAGTAAGGAGAAGCTAGGAAAGATTTGGCATTTTGATATATAGAAAGTGGGTTGAGGTGATCCCACACACTTGAAACAAGAAACATTTTTCAGGCTCCCTTCTCTGCTGTGAATTTAGGTTGACGTGTGTTAAGTTTGTAGTTTATACTCCATCATGTGAGCAATGAAGCTGATACCTAGTTTTTCCTTTTTGTTTCTTCTCCCTTTGAGGGCCAGGGACAAAACTGCATAACTTCTCATTGTCTTCCTGAAACCACAGCAGTAAAAGCAATAGTACAAAACTTTGTTCCATGTCTCTCTGAAATCTTTCTCCTGATAAAATTTTGCAGGATAGCCATGGTACACCAAATAAAAAAAAATGTGGTCTGAAGAAATACTTGCCTAATTTTATTAGCAGCAGCACAACCAGTGCATTCTTTATATTTGTTCAACAAATCTGTGTTCTCATTTTGCTCTGTTTGGGTGTTTAAAATTTACAAGTAGCTAAGACCTGGACCAAGAATGACCATTCTTGCTACATCTCACCTGCTTCTACAACACTCTTGTCTTTAGTCCTCTGAATGTTTTTTTGAACTAAGATACCCCCAAACTGAGCTTGAGTTCGAGACAGCTGTGGCAGCGTATGTTAAGACTTGGAGAAAGGCTGCTTGAAAAGCAGTGATGTTTTTTTCCATCTTTTTCCAAGAGTAGTGACTTTTTAGGTGCCTTTTCACAAGACAAGCAAGCTTTACCACAGTAATTTTTTGAAAAATGCATTTTTGTGTAACTTGATCCTTCTGGTATTTCTTTATAGGGTGCTTTTGGTATCTTTAGAAGCACAAAAATGCTGTTATCTCTAGTCCAAATGCAGTTGTGAGAAAAGCTGATTTCGATGATGTTCTTGTATATCCAATTTTCTCTTGCGTCTGTCTCTGCCCCGAGGTGCATGGGATGGTGGTTCTGCGGCAGCCTGCGCTTTCGAAGAATGAGTCTGGACTCTTCGCGTTTTCCGTCTTCAGGTTGTTTATTATTTCTTATCTACAAAATTTTCTTTTTGCCCAGCCGAGATCTGCTCAGCAAGGGAGCCACAGGCACTCTGACCGCCCCCGAGGTGGTGTCGTCTTTTTATACTACAAACCACGTATATCATAAATACTTCTAATTCTGAATACCCATCACCTATGTTAGACAGTGCACTTCTATTCTAAACCAATCCCCAAGTGCCAACATCACAGCAGAACATGGAGAACAAGAAGAAGAAAGAAGATGCCCTGATTCCTCCATCTTGTCCTCATAGCCCCATACAAAAAAATCCTAAAACCTACATTTTCACCCTGTGAACACCTTGTTTTTACACCGTTCAAACCTGTGTGGCTTTCACATCCCCATGCCAAGCTGGCAATTCGTTGGAAGGACCAAAATCAAGCCACCAGGTGTTCTGGGCAGAATGCCAGGGTCTCCGAGCCCCCCGACGGGGTCCTCGGCAACTCTGGACATCGGGAGGAATGTGCTGAGTTCCCACAATTTTCATTACAGGCAAAATGGGAACTGAGGCTCTGCCTTTCCCAGTCTCGTTGATGTACACATTCATGGTTAACGGTTTTATTTATTCCCTCCTTCTGATCTCTACTGAATGCTAAAACATGTGGCTGGATGGTGTACTAAGAACACAGATGGAGTTCTGGCATGAGGCGGTACGTCCTAAATACCTACTTCCCCATGTTTATATGCCTGTAGCTAAAAATCAGCCTGGATTATATGGGCTATTCTTTAAAGAGCTATCTTCCTTGAACTGCACTTTGGATCACTGTGAATGCTATGGGATGATTCCTATTGCAGAATTTGAGGATGATGCTCATGAACATGTTGTAGGCATGAACAGGTGATTTCTCTCTAGCCTTTGGCAGGAGAGGAAGCATATGGGCAACTGCACACGCAGAAGAGATTGCTCAGTGCAAAGCAAGGGGCAGAGACAAGGGCTGGTGTTATCCCCAGCACCTTGCTGTCATGATAAGGGTTGGCAGCAGCTTTGCTTATAGCTATAATATTCCTCATTTTGCAGAGCTCTGAATGTGATTAATGGTCCAGGTAAATCACGGAGGCTCGCTGCCTCAGTTACATTTACAGCAGTAAGACAACTTGCCTTTAAGTCACTGTATTACCAAATGGTGCAGGGTTGATGTTTTTGGGGTTTGATTTGTACCAAATAGAAGAAAGGAAGTTTTTCACTGAAACTAGTAGTGAATTTTCTTGTGTTTGTAGGTGAAAAAACTTCCAAAGCTGGATGTAGATTTTAAGACAAGTAATGCTATAAGGAAACTATATATGCAGTCCTATAGAATGAAGTTTGATCTAATGATTCCTCTTATTTTTCCCCTGTTGCTGGTTTGGTGAAAAGAGCAGTTGTGGGAGGATGCCTTTTGGATGTGGTACACTCCAAGACATGGGCCTAGTTGAAAATATCAACCAATTTTTCCTCTTTGAAAATCAGATATGCTGTTGTGGCAAAATAATTCTCACTTTCACTCTTTCAGAAGCTGAAAAATACATTTAAGCAACCAAATGTTGATATATTTGTTTACCTATTGATTTGTGAAATTGGCATGGTAGTGGACTGCAATGTTACCTCTGACCCTCAGGATGTGAAAGTTGAATGGGAAGCTCCCTGGAATCTGCAAGTTCAGCTTGCAGTGACATTCAAGGCCACATGCTCTTGGGAGGGAGGGCACTTTGCTGCTATGCACAATAGTCTTCAAATTGGTGCCAGCTGCACTGAGTTTATTAAACCCAAGTTCCCAAGGATGGCTGTGGAGGCAGAGCCAGAGTGATGCAGTGCAGAGCAGGTCTGAAGGAGTCAGCTACCCTGCTTTAAGAAATCTTCCAGGCAAATTTCTAGGCTCATTTCCTGGAATATTTTACTGCAGCATGCCAGGCTAGAAGGCCCATTTATCAGAGCAATGGCACCTGATTTGCTTATGTGTGAAAGAAAACTACTGAGGGTTTAAATCTGCTGGGCAGAGGAGCAGCCTTTGGGCTGCTAATTTAATGTGTGTGTGTGCCTGATAATTACCCTTACAGCAACATGAACAGCAAATAAAATTACCTCCAACAGCAGAACCAAGACTCAGTTTATGTGCAAGGGCTGTGTCACTCAAAATGCAACTGCAGCCAAAACATTTGCAACAGTATATACTATTTCTACTCTCTGCACCCTGGAGGAAGACAGTCCAGCACAGCAGAGCCCATGTCCCAACACTGTCAAGGGTAGCATGACACAGAAAAAGGACGGTGGGATGCACAAGTTTGTTTCTGCACTGTTCAACTCTTCCTTGGCCCCAGCCAGGAAATCCAAACCCACCAGACACCTGAGCTCCCTCTGCAGTGTAACATCCTGGGAAAAGCAACCTGGTGAACAGGCAGATGCCAGCAGCCAGCTGACAGGAAAAGCTAAGCACTGGGGGAGAAGGGGAAGGATCGGAAATCTCACCTCCAGCCAGCTGGAGTGCATTTCTGCTACAACGAAACAGGCTCCAGCACTGTGGGATGAGAATGTGGAGACTGGAGCCTGGGGAGGGCTGCAGCAGAGGACGAGTCTGCTCTCACTATCCAAAACCACAAGCAACAGCCACATTTCACAGGCCAAGCAGCTGAAACTCATCCAAAATGTTTCTGGAGTAGATGCAGTGGGACCAAGTTCTGTACACACAAGAAGAAGAAATATTGACAAAACCTGGCCATTTTGTGTCATCTGGCTTGACAGCTCTCATGTTGCTTCAGATGGCTGAAATGTAAGTAGCTGAAACCTCAAGCTGTTTGATATTTCAGGTATTCTTTTTCAAGACAATAATTTCAAAGAGTTGCTCCCAAACTCCAAACAGTTTCCTTCTGGAGCAGACAGCATTTAAAGTCAACATATAAAGTCTCTTTCCTACTCAAGCAAAATACAATGAAGAAATGATTAGGAAACTGCTGCTAAAAAGAAGAGTTTGGGATATTTGTTAATACTGCTCAAAGCTACAAGATAACTGCTTGTACCTAATAACTTTTTGTTAAAAGATAATTACCAGCACTGCATGCAAGACTGATGGTTACTCTAAAAGGCAGTTAAACATTTAAATGAGCGAATGGAAACAAAAAAAATAAGAGGATACAAATAACCAACATTTTGGACCTTGTAAAAGTTTTTGAACCTTCTAAAATGGCATATAGCCAGTGTGCCTCTTTTAAGAATTGCTTTGAAATAACTGTATATTGATAATTTCCATGTGTGGACAACAGTATTTTATAATTTCAACAGATACAGAAATAATTCTGAATGCTAGGACACAATGAAATGCTTCATCTCTTTTTCTCTTTGAAGATACCACATCCAAGCCTAAGTTTTCATTTTAAGGAGCTGTTGTACCAACTTAGCAATTACATCAGATATTAAAAGCAGATGCTTGTTAGAGGCAAGAATCCCCTCAAAAAAAAACAAACAACCACCAAAAACCAAAACAAACAAAACCCCCAAATCAAGCAAACAAACAAAAAACCCCTAAAAAACAAAAAAACCCTACCCCAAAACAAAACCAATGACAGCAAACTATGCCCACTCCCAATCTGAGATATTTTTGTTGTTCCTGTCAGGACTGTAAACCCAACAAATACATTAAATACTTCAGGCTTTTGAAGAATGTAGGGAACAGACGCAGTTGAAATTGACCGCATTTATAGATGCCAGATTTTCACCACTTAGCATGAGGCACATATAAGGAGCGAGTAAGACCAAGGGGCCCAGTAGCTCGCATGGATCTCTTGGGCCTTCCTGCCATCCTAACTCCCCTTCCAGGGGCTGCAGGTGCTAGACATTCTCTGGCTGAGCCCCACCACCAATCATTTGTGCTGAGATTCAGCTGGATGCCCACCCTACCCCCACCTA